TAATGCACACACAATGGCAACACATTGTGTGTCAGACAAAGTAAAACCATAGAATCACAGTTAGCGGTGACATAATTTAGAAGCGTTTTTTTCATGTTTCAGTGTGACTTTAAAGGAGACGTGTTCTGCTCATATTCAAACTGTCCATTGCTGCAGCTCCTTTATTCAGCCTCTGTCTGAAACACTTGGTTTGAGCTCCTGTCTCTTTAAGACCCGCCTCCTGATAAGGCCCAGTGTGCTCTGATTGGCCCACTGATCGACTCTGTTGTAATTGGTCAACCTCTTCCCGCACGTGTGTGGGAAATAGCGGCCTCAGCCCTCGCTGTACCTGTCTTTGTTAGGGGCGTGTCAGACCAGCCGCTTGGCCTGCATGTGGGCCAACGTGACATCACAGGGCGAGGAAGTACCGGCCGGACTTCCGTAGAAGTGTCTCTGCAGCTTCAGTGTTTTCTGTGCTGGAGAGGAGCTCCCTGACTTTTTAACTTTGCAGAATGAAACACCGATATATAGCACACAGGAAAGAGACAATGAAAAACAACATAGTCTCCTTTTGAAGCTCAAAAGAAAACATTTTAAAAAAGTGATCATGTGGATTTGGCTTTTTATTGAGAATGTCTAAGGTTAATTTGTAAAGTAACCAGTGTTTTAATGATTTTATTTTTCATCTCAGACCTGTTTTAGAGAAATTACATTTCTTTAGAACTTAATTGGAGGGGCTAATATGTTTTGTAGGAAACGTAATTACCACTGATTCAGTTTTCTATTAATGGAATGAGGATATGTTGTTAATTTCCATCTGGTATTTCACAATTATATATTCAAGCTAAATATATCAGAATGCAATTTTTGTCAGAGTTGTTTTTTATGGAGACAGTGAAAATGAAAAGGTTTGAGTGTTTTCTTTGTGCTGTAGTTGAGATGAGATCGTGTAAGAAGTTGTTTTTGTCAGTTCTCTCAGTGAACGCTCCAGTTTAGCATCTAATCAAATGGTGCAAACAGCAGCAGACGTGTAAATAGTTGTGATCACAGTTGTGGCATCATGCAGTGGTACCTGTCACTCACAGTCGCCGTTGATTCTTTGTTTTTTCGTCTTATTCAGAAAATATGAAACCTGGGTTTTTTAGCAAGTGTAACAGTGTAGTTCGGTTGCGGTTATATGTAATCTATTACATTATGAGTATTTCTGAGTGACTGCAGCTTGCAGGAGTCTCCTAATCTGTGTGTCTGGGATGCGGCTCATTAACATCACATGTTGCGTGGCCCAAGCATGAAACTGTAATTGCTATTAACACAACCCAACGACTCACACATTTACACACACACACCCTGTATTATTATTATTAATCTAATGCTACACTTTGAACAAAGTGCTTAATGACAGTTTCCATTATCAGTGTATTATTAGTCCACGTTAATCAAACACTCGCTTGTTAAAGGATAAGAGCCAAACACACACAGCAACATGACAAGCAAGGAGAGGCAAATGTGTGTATTATCTCTTTGTGTGTGTGTGTGTGTGTGTAAGCAGGTGTGTCGTTAAGGTATAAAAATAAGAGTGCTTACCTTTGGACTGAAATGGGTGTGGTGCTGTAGTTGACTGATGATAAAGGTGTGTGTGTGTGTGTGTGTGTGTGTG